AGGTCTGTTTTGGCTCGTGTTTACAGTCCATGGCCAGCCAGCTCCAAGGCCTGGCAGAGGAGAGCTGCTCATGGCATGGCAGACAGGAAGCTGAGAGCCAAGGGAGGAGCCAGGAGGGCAGACAAACCCTCCAGATCACAACCAGTAACCCGCCTCTTCCTGCCAGACCCCATCTCTCAACAGCAAGTCCGATATAAACCCCCACGATCCAGTCACCTCCTAAAGGTCCTGCTAAAGCGCACGAGGCTTTAGTGGGACCCCCACACAGAAGCCATAACTCCCCACCAGTGATGGTCAAAGGCCCTGCTCCAGGCCCAGAGGCATCAGCCATGTGAGCTAATGGGCCAGTGCGCCATTCAAGTTCTTGGTGATGTTTAGCCAAGAATCTTGTTATCTGCAGTTAATGCAGTTGGGAAATTTATCAACTGGATTTAACTTTTTAAAAGGAAAACAAAAAAAGAAAGTATTTTTGCTCTGGTTTGGGAGTTAGAAAAGAAGGTGTTTGTGCATTCACATACCTGTGCACACAGCATGAAGGTCCCTTCTTTTCTCGGGGGTGGGGGGTGTGGGGGGTGGGTGTCGATGTCCTTGGTAGAAAACCAGACAAAAGCCAAAAAGATATGTGATTGAGGAGTTAGAGACGGAAGGAAATGGGACTCTGGTTTTCCAGAGTTTTCCGGAGGAGTGGGGGTAGAACAGGAAAGCCTTGGCAGGGCAAGGCGACCAGGCGGGCAGGAGCCCCAAGAGTGTGGAGCAGCAGGAAAGAAACACACTCACTTCCCTCGTGAACGGTGGAGGAAGGGGCCTCCGCCACACAAAATGGAGCAGAGTGCTCTGCTGAGCTGTGGACCCTGTGCCTGGGGGGATGGAGCTGTCCTGCTCTCCTGAGCCAGCAGCTGGTCCTCCTCTCCAGAAATGCCTGTGGTCACATGAGATGTGTGAGGTCCAGGACAAGCCCTCACTTTTGCAGGGCCTTTCACGACTCTGGCAGGAGTGGCCCTGTCACCAGCAGCAGTTGTCTCACCCTGTGCTGGGGGCCTTGCAGGGGAGCACCTGGTCCCTGGAGGAGGCCTATGAGCATCCACTGAGCAGCACGATTGGAATCCCCTCCGCCATATTCTTTGTCTCTCCTCTTCATTGGCTGTAAGGTCCCCATCTGAGATGAGGCCCTGGTCTCCCAGTTTAGCAAGAACTTGGGTGGGGACACTGACATGGTTGGGTGGCCCGGATCAACCTGTAGTCGGGAACCAAATGTACTCATGCTGGGCCCTTGTTCCGGTGTCTCTGTGTCCCTGCCTCCTGCTCCCTTCCATCTGGAATCCCATCTGGTGCATCTGAACTAACGTTCAACTTTTTAGATTCTGCTTCTCCACTGGCCTAAGGAAAGGAATGTCACCTTTCTGCCCTCCTTTCTGCCAGGTCCTGGGAGCAATCCTGTTCCAAGGCACGGTTTCCAGATCATTACACGTTGCTTAGGAAGAGACCATGGAAGAACAGGGCTGAAGAGGGGCTGGCAGAAGAGGCCATTGACTCTGTGGGTGCAGACTCTGTCCTTCGTGGGGCCAAATGGGAATGTCCTGGAAATTGTATTTCCTGAGCAACATCCAGCCCTTGGCTTTAGAGGAAAAACTGCAGGCAGTTACTTGAGACAGTAATTGATTGATTGAGAGATGAGAAGTGGGGAAAATGCAGCCAGTGTGAAACTCGCAGCATCGCCAGGACAATCACAGCCACCTCAACATTGCCCATGGTTCCTGGGGTGGATGGCTCATTGCAGCTGGGGAAGCCCGGGGCTCACTGAGCCCCCGAGGAGGATGGAAACTGGAGGAGCAGTGTGGGCTTGAGCCATGTACCCAGGGGACCGCTTGGACACAGAGGGACAGGCAGACAGACTTCAGAGCCAGAAAAAGCAGGATGTAGAAACAATTCTGGGGGACTTGCATTCTCTGAGAACCACAGAATTTGAGATGCAAAGAATTTCAGTCCTCTGTCCTGGGCTCAGCAAACTTCACTGTTTAAAGCTCACCAGGAGTTTTTAACTGGGCAGATTCCCAAGCTGTACCTCAGAAATCTGATTGGGGTGGGGGATGGGACTGAGGCCTCTGCACTTTCAACAGAACTGTGCCCCCTGCCCAAGAATTCTGATGCAGGTGGTTCGAGGGCCACACTGAGGTCCTCTGCCCTATGCGATGCCCGAATCCCCAGCACCCTCAGCCACTGCTCCTGCCTTGGCGCTGCCTGGTGGGGCTGTGGGAAGGTGAGGCCGGTGCAGCCAGCCCTGGCAGCCGGGCCCACCCTGCAGCAGCCCGTCCTCTGTCTTCTGTGGACTGCTGAGGCTGGACCCGGACACAGCGGCACACTGACTCTTGGTCACTCGGGACCGCGACCTGCGTGCTCCAAATTTCTAGACCATACAGCAAATCCAAGATGAAGAAATTCTCATTTGTACTTTGTTGGGGGAAAAACCAAGTTTATATTGCTGACCAGGTCCGAAGGGTAGGGGGTGGTGGCTAAGGTATCAGGTTCTGAGGTGATGAAAAGGTTGAAAAATTGGTTATGGTTGTACATGCCTATGAATACATCAAAACTACTAAATTCTGTAAAGAGGTGAATTATATGTCACGTGAATCATATCTCAGTAAAGTTACTAAAGACAAAAAGTCTGAGATATCTGTAACAAAGTTCATGTATTGGGAGAATGGCTTCCTTAATATATTTTATTTATTTATTTATTATTTAGGTACCAGGGATTGAATTTAGGACCTTACACTTGTGAGGCAGGTGCCAGAACCACCGAGCTAAATCCCCGGCCCCTATTTATTGGTTTTTTTGAGACAGGATCTTACTGGGCAGTTCAGGCTGACCTTGAACTCATGGTGATCCTCCTGCCTCAGCCTTCAGAGTATTGGGATCACAGGCGTGTGCCACCATGCCCAACTCTCTCTCAATATATTTTTTTAATGGTTCTGATGGTATCCTAAAATAGTGGACCCTCAAGTTACAACTGGCCTGAGATACGAACATCTTGGGTTAGGTGAATGGAAGATTAATCTGCCTCTTGTTATCCATAGTGTTTACTGAGGTGAGCATACAGATCTCAGCTGTATTGATTTACAACCAACTTGAGTTACAACCAGCCCTCGGGAACTGATTGAGTTCGTAAGTCAAGAGTCCACTGTACTTGACTCAAATCAGTCACAACTTACACATGACTTTGCTTAGCATCTGCTCTGCTCTGAGACAGATGCTTGGATCCAGTGTGATCTCAGTTTGAACTGGGTCTCAGAAGAGGGCCCAACACTGGGCCCCTGGGGGCTTCCAGACCCCATCATTTGGTTCTCTGGTCTTCTTGATTTTACTCTGCATTTTTTGCTTTATGGCTTTTCTCCTTTAAAATCCATGAACTTAGCTCTCCATTCAAAGTTTCTGAAGAAGACTATTGAAAAGCCATTTGTCAGCCTTTTTGGAAATGACTGCTTCATTGGCTGATGAATCGGATTCTCTTCTGAAAGTCCACAGTGCAGAAGTGCCCAGCGCGGCTCTCCTTGGTGCTCAGGGCCTGCTGCTCTGAGTGTGGAGGGAGCCAGGATCACTGCCTGAGGATGCCCCACAGCTCTTCCTCCCTGGTGACTTGGAGTGGAGCGAGAAAGCACCCCTTCCCCTGCACAACCTCATTGCTGCGGGGCCTTCACACTTCCTCTGTGCCAGCTCTGGCTTCGACCCAGGCCCTCTGAGCTGAGAGCCAAACCCCAGACTCCCTGTGCTCGGCACAGGTCCAGAAGGCTCAGCAGTCAGCTAAGCGGAGCTCCTGGGTGGGCTGCAGGACCCTCCTCCGCAAGATCTGTGCTGCTCGGCCAGGAGGGCCATAGGACGGGCAAGATTGGAGGCAGGCCGAGCTGTGCTGCTCTGCTGCCCTTCCCTCTCCTGGGATGGGAGGGGTTTGGATGCCAGCACCTCCGAGGGCCATGTGCCTCTCTCCAGGGACAAGCTCCTGGGATTCGGGACCCACACAAGCTCTCCGGAGGCCTGGGCCTTGGCAGCAGAGGAGGCTGCGTTGGCACTGAGCGTGGCAGGCACAGCTGACCTTTCTTTGCAGGTCTCCTCTCTTCCCTTCTGTGGGAGACAGTCCCTGCTCTGTCCAGTGGTGAACACTCTTTGAGATTTAGCCTGAGGACTTCCAGGGCAGGTCGGTCAGTTGTGTGATTTGATTTGTAGCTGGTAGTTTTTCTCAGTCAGTTTTCTTCCAAGGGGCAGATGGAAGATGGAAGCCCATGGGCACAAACAGCAGAGCCCGCTCTGTCCCCTAGGCTCCTGCAGGTGAGTCCCATCGAGGGCTAGGGGACACCCACCCTTCACTCACCGCAGCTGTGCCTCTCGGAACTTAGCAGCCACCGACCCCACGCCCTGACAGCAGACCTGCCAGGGACACCTGGCAGTCACATTGTGACATTCTGTTCTGTCACGTGAGGTGCTCAGTTAGCATGAGTGACATAAACACATAGAGAAACACAGAGCTGAAAACAGATGGCACCACTTGGCTCTAAGGTCATCCCTGCATGATTCAGAACACACTTATGTTGGGTTTAACTTTTAAAAAGTTGTCCAAATGAAACAAAAATTAAAAACTCCTTTAGAACAAAAGGCCTCTGATTGTCTCCCAGCCCCAGAACTATAGGGATCTGAAGATGCTATTTTGAGAAGCAAGAGGCTGAGGCCAGGCCTGGCTTGGGCTGTGGCTGTAGTCACAAGTCAGACTGCACAGGGGAGCCTGCTGACCGCCATGCTTGGTTGGGATGGTCTCAGTGACCCTCTTCCTCAAGGCCACAGCATCCTGGGACATTGTTGGACAGCTCTGGATAACTCGATACCTTCACAGCCCAAGCGGGCTGATCTAGAATTTTCACTGATTGCTTGTGCTCTTGACTTCTGAGATCATACTGAATTTTTAAAAATCCCTGAAGACACTAGGGTAGAGGATACAGAGCCCACATTTTAGTTCCTTTCTTTTTAAATCTAAATGCACTCATGCGCATCGGAGCAGCTGATGAACATACTGATTTGTTCCTGAAAAATATACAGATGAGGGAGAAGGGGGTTTGGAGAAATCTTCTCATTTTGATCTGTCACTGAGAAGAGACCTGGAGTCTCTAAGGGATCAGGACTCATGCAAACATGGAGGGTGAGTGACAGGGACACATGGACAGCTGAAGATGCAATGACATTTCCTGAGGTGCTGCTCCTGCCACGCCCACTCTGAAACAACAAGTGACTGGCTGAGCCATGCACTGCTCTGACCCTACGTGGGACTCCATGAAGCGATCTTGCATTGTTGCTTCTTCTGAAATTGGTTTCCTTTGCCATCATTCTTGCAAAAATGTTAGCCTTTGCCATGGGCAACACCTCAATGCAGATATTCTAACTGTGCTTTGGGGTTCTCAATATTGGAAAATTTTGCAGAGTCCTGAGCACAGACTCTGTGCATGTACAGAGGGAAGACCAGGGTTCTGGAAGTGCCCGTTGGCCTCTTCGGCTGGAGTCCTGGAGACAAACTAGTGTGACTACTGTGAGTCCCTCTTTGGTGCCAAGATTGGTATGTAAATATTGAAATCTGTAGGCCTTTCAGATGCCAGACTACAGTCGGGAGTCACTTGGCTTTAGGCGCCAGTAATGTGTTTGAAATGTGCACACTGGATCCGTTTTGGCCCTGTGCTTTTAGAGGAGTGGGGGTTACTTGTGCCTGGGCAGCCCAGCCCACTCTGGCAGTTGATGACAAGCTTTGGGGTTAGCCCACTGGCTCCCTCAGTTGGGGAGGCCGAGGCAGTCCACACCGCAGGGCTTGCTGAGAGCTGCTGGTGGGAATGCTGGTCTTTCCCTGGGCAGCATCCTCAGAGGCGCGGGCTTCAAAACCCACCTCGGCCTCACTCTGAGTCTGCGGCGTGCAGGCCTGCACAGAGCAGAGGCCTGCACCTTCCCTCGGAGCTCTGCCTCCTGCCCACTCGTCTCCGTGGGCAGAGTACAGCTCCTCCTGTCCTCTCGTGCCTGGGCTCTCTGCACAGTTCTTCCTCATTTCCTGAAGGAGAAACGAGCCCACTCTAGGACTCTGCCTGTGACCATCGGCTGGCGGGCGAGGGGAGGAGGGAGCCCGCTGCCCACAGCTCCCCTGGCGCTGCCCAACAGCCAGGATCGCCCGGGCAGGGGGCGCCGACTTCGTCCAGGCCCTAGCCTGAGGGGACTCGGCCTCGCCTGCCTCGATGGAGAAAGGGGCAGTGCTAAGTCCCGCGATCGATCCGCTTTCTCCTTCCTCCGGGCGCACCTGCGCCCTGGGCTGAAGGCCTGCCCTGCACAAAGCGTCGGCGTGCTGGGGATGTGGGTCCCAGGCGGAAGGCCGCTCAAGGCGGACGCCCTGGCCCCGGGGTTGCGCGCGGGCCGCATGGCGCCCCCGCGTGGTCCTCAGAGACCAGAAGCCGGACTCAGGCACTGGGCTGCGCTGTCAGGGCGGAGCCCGCTGCCCTCCCGGGGTTCGGGCCACGACAGCTGGAAATCTGCCCTGCGCCACGCTCTCCGGCGCCTGCCTGGGTCTGGGTGTGGACCCTTGCTCTCTACTTTCTTCTTCCGGTCAGTACTGTATTCCCAGCACTGAATCTAAGTCCAAGGAATTTTTAAGAATTATGACTCTAAGACCTCTTGTTTGAAGGGTGGTTTTGTTTTATTAACGAACCAGAGAAGACACCACAAAACGACTGTGAAAGGCCAAGAAGGATGAATGGGGACTCAGCTGCCTGCCTGTCCCGAGCTGCTGGGTCGGTGGCCCCGGAGGGGTGCACGGTTCTCCGTGCTTGGGGTGAGGGCCAGCCAGGAAACTGTCCCCACCCCTGTGGAAAGTGTCCCACCCCGGCGTCGTACACCCGCACTCTGAGACCCAAACCCAACTCTTGAACAGCATGTTTCAATTTGCAAGTGTATTTCACACCCTTGATTCCATCTTATTTTGAAGCCACCCGTCCGATTCTGTGGTTCTTTTCTTCCATGCTGTTCATAGTGGAGATCTAGGTTGATCCCTCTAGCAGATAGAAAACATCAAGACCTTCCATGCCAGCTTTCGAAGGAGTGGACAATCACCTCCTTCCATCCTCACAGGGCCCTGTGAGGCAGGCGGCCGCTGTGGGGAGGGGGCCAGGACACAGGGGCAGAGGCGGGACAGGCGCAGCTGTAACTGGGTCACTCTCCTCGGACTCCCTCCAGGCCTCTTTCCACTCTGAGATGCCCCGAGCTCACCTCGAGGAGCAAACAGCTTCTGCTTTGAACAGGCTTTCGAGCATGGTGATTGGAAGCCCAGAACTCCACAGTGGGAGCGGGGTGGACGCACCTGAGCTCAGTTAGGCGTCAGCATCACAGGATGTGTGGGACAGACACGGACATCGACGACAGGGTTCTGCTGTTGTTTTGATTCTCACTTGGACCAGGCTGGAGGACGGGACTTTAAAGAAGCAGAGTTCAGGGGGACGACGACTCAGAGGATCTTCTCATCTAGCAATTTGTTGATGCCTTCACAAATCCTCTTGAGGCTGGGCCTGCAGTCTCCGTCCAGACGATAGAGGGTGGAGAGGAACTCCAGGTTGGCGAAGTGGCTGAAGACGTGGTCGATGCGTCCGTGGGTCCGAGGCGTGAGGTGTCGCCGCACCAGTCCGTGCACCAGGTCCTGGCACTCGTGCAGCAGCGTGGCGAGCACGTTCCTGTCGAAGGTGTACTCCACCTCATAGAAGCTCACCACCGTCATGGCGGTCTGGTTCAGCTTCTTCCGGAACTTCTCCACCAGGGTCACCTCTTCCTGATTGAACTGGTTGTTCCGGTAGAGGATTCCGATTTTTATGGCCACCTTGATCAAGTCCTTCATGATCTTGTGGGCCTCCTTCTTGTTGTGGGTGTACTCTTTGGTGACTTTGTAGAGCTCATCGAAGATCTCGCTGCTGGTGTCATCGATCAGCATGTTGGCCATGGTTTTGCTGGCTATTTTGCTCAGGACCTTCTTCTGAGCTTGCAGGGCAAGGCTCTTTGAACTAAACACATCAGGACCTACAGTGAGGAAGACAGATGTACAGGACCATGAGCGCTGTTAGCTATGTCTCCCCGGATAAAACACATTAAACTGGACTTCATTCTTGCTGCAAAGCCCCATGTCTCTGCATCACGAGATTCCCTAACTAAACCTGCAAGCACGGGGACGCCACTGCCCCATGTGCGGGCCTGCTCACCCTCTGGCTTCTCCTCTTCTGCAGGAAGAGCTCTCTGGGCCCAGGCCAAACCTCACTGTTCTGGACCCCCTTGTACCTATGGCCTTCCTGACTCTACCAGCTCACAGATAGTCCAGGCAGCTGCTGTCACCACAGAAACCAGTTTGGACAGGGATGCAGCCCCAGTGTCAACCCCTTTCCGGGGAGATGAGACATGGGGAATTGATCATGGAAGACTTTTTGACTTGAGTCTCAGAACCCATACTTCACTGTGTCTAAGATGTGGTTTCTGTTTTGGAGACCTGGGAGGTTGGAGCCATGAATCCTGGGCAGCTGTTGTGCTATGGTTGTCATTACCTGTATGCACGTCAGTTTATACATCAGTCTGAGAAACGTGAGAGAAATAGTCTGCCTCACTAATGCTTTTGATGGCAGAGATGGTGGTAACGTGTAGGAAATACAGACATTGAAAACTGAAGGTCAAAAATGCTTCAGACAAGTAGAATTCTTTTTTGTTTTGTTTTGGTCTTTTGAGACAGGGTCTTGCTATGTAGCACACAGTCTTGAACTTTCAGTGTTTCTCCTGCCTCAGCCTCCTGAGTGCTCAGATTACAGGTATGTGACACCACACCTGGCTCCAGACAAGTACTATTCTGAATGTGAAAAGGCTTAGGAAAACCACAGCTAAGTTATTTTGCTGTTATTTTCCCTTTATAAATAATAATGAGAGCAATATATAAATATATATTTTAAAACCCACAACAACTCTGTCTAAATAAGTCTAACAAAGCTATTTCAGAAAATATAGGTAAAAATGATAAATATAACCAGGTCTGTTGTGCACACCTGCAAACCCAGAACTCTGGGAGGGGGAAGCAGGAAGATCCTAAGTTTGAGCCCAGCCTGGCCAACTTAGTGAGACCCTGTCTCAAAGTAAAAAGTGAAAAAGACTGGAAATGTAGCTTAGTGCAAAGGCCCTGGTTATAACCCCAGTATAATAAAATAAAAAAGATATCATTTATAATCTGCCAGCATTTTTTTCTTTTTAAAGAGCACGTGAAAAGCTTTCTTACTATTTTTTTCCCCATTAAGTTTATTGGTACATTTTAGATATAAAATACAGTTACATTCATCATTGGGCTCTTGTACCTTTACATGAGTATCTTGGTTCTTATTTTTTTCCTCTTCCCCTGCCCTCCCTTCACCCCCTCCACCCTTCCCTATTTGCAAAGACTTTGTTTCCATTTTTTTCCTTTTCTCGTATTTTTTCTTTTCCCTTTTTCCCTTTCCCCTACCCCTCCCACTTCCCCTGCTCCTTTAGACCTTTCTACCTATTACACAATATCAATTATACATTTTTAAAATTACAATATCAAGATCTAGGAGACAGTACCACAGATTTTACAGAATTTAAAAGGATATAGAAAGCATATTTCAAAAATCTTTTTTGAAAT